GTTTTGAACTGACTCTTTACCTTCAAAGCACTAAGCAAAATCTGTCCAATTTTCTTGAAATTATTCCCATGATGCCCCTTTTGGCTAAAGCATCCTGCTGCAAAGTCTTCTTCTGCTTCAACTTTTGATTTCTTAGTGGAGGATTGATGCTCTTTTTGTCCACACTTCACACCATTGTTAAGTACTCAATTGAGCTGGTTCCTGAGAAATAGCAATTTTATGGCATTATCCAGAATTGTTTTTCATTTTATCATCAAGAATTGTCGATACCAACATCTCTATATGAACAAAGTAGTTCTAAATTGTAATGCAAGGGTCCCGCTCTCTACCCTTCACCACTCCCCCACCCTTATTTTTCTTTTCATTTTATTTTATTTCTTTTCAGTGTTCCAGAGATCATTGTTTATGCATCACACCCAGTGCTCCATGCAATATGTGCCCTCCATAATACCCACCACCAGGTTCAATTAACCCCCCATCATCCCCCAAACCCTCAGTTTGTTTCTCAGAGTCCACAGTCTCTCATGGATTGTCTCCCCCTGCAATTTCCCCCAACTCACTTCTCCTCTCCATCCCCCCATGTCCTCCGTGTTATTCCTTCTGCTCCACAAATAAGCAAAACCATATGATAATTGACTCTCTCTGCTTGACTGATCTCATTCAACATAATCTCCTCTAGTCCCATCCATGCTGATATAAAAGTTGGGTATTCATCCTTTCTGGTGGTGGCTTAATACTCTATTGTATATATGGACCATATCTTCTTTATCCATTCCAACCACTGAAGGGCATCTTGGTACTTTCCACAGTTTGATGGCTCTGGCCATTGCTTGAAGGGTACAGATAGCCCTTCTTTTCACTACATCAATATCTTTGGGGTAAATATCCAATAGTGCAATTGCAGGGTCATAGGGAAGCTCTATTTTTAATTTCTTAAGGAATCTCCATGATTTTGGCCATTCTAACTCATGTAAGGTGGTAGGGATCTCAATGTGGTTTTGATTTGAATCTCCCAGATGGCTAATGATGATGAACATTTTTTTCATGTGTCTGATAGCCATTTGTATGTCTTCTTTGGAGAAGTGTCTGTTCATCTCTTCTGCCCATTTTTTGACATGATAATCTGTTTTCTGTATGTTGAGTTTGAGGAGTTCTTTATAGATCTTGGGTATCATCCCTTTGTATGTAGTGTCATTTGTGAATATCTTCTCCCATTCTGTGGGTTGCCTCTTTGTTTTGTTGACTGTTTCCTTTTCTATGCAGAAGCTTTTGATCTCGATGAAGTCCCAAAAGTTCATTTTCGCTTTTGTTTCCTTTGCCTTTGGAGTCATATCTTTTTTTTCCACTTTATTTATACATATTTAATTAAGATGAAATAGGCATAAACCATAAAGAAAAAAATCAGGATAAAGTGTCACTTCCATTTTGTAGGGAGGGGTCAGGAAATGTAACAGATTACCTGGGAAACATCCTAAGACCACCCCAAAGCAGTGAAGTTACAGAATGTTAAAGACAAAATTGGGTATTATTCCACTTAATCTACAAATGAATAAAGAGAGTCAAAACTTTATCCTATGTGGTATAAGAATTGTTACATTTAATATATAGTGAATCATTTCTCAGAAAGTAATACCGGTAAGTTTTAGAAGAAAGAAATTTCCATTACACAATTGACTAGTAAATCTCAAATGCAACTAAGCAGCTATGCTATAGCTCAGTATGTACCATTACATTGTTCTGGGCTAGTGTACATTTCAGTTTAACACAGAACTGCATTTTGGGTTTTAGAAAGGTAGCAATAGTTATATTTTGGCTTTTATTCTAGATGCTTAACACAGTTAAGGCGACAGTTGAAGCATATTAAGTAAAGGTAGTTAAAATTAAATGATGATCAACACAATCTCTAGCAACCTACATACACTGTATAATGCTTACATGGAATGAAACTTAATTGGTATTTTACACACACAGAACTAAAAAAACATCAAAAGCAGTCATTCTACATGTACTATGGTTACACATTAAAAATGCAATTATACCATAGAACTAAAGTAATATGAACAGCACTACTTGATATTTTAGATAAAGGTGATTGGTTCTAACACAGAGCTAAGCCTGTATCAGTCATTCTAATCATAATGGTTTTTAAAAGCATCGGGTTTCCAGTAGAGAAACTACTCAATGAAAATCAGTTAAAATCTGTCCAAAGTTTCACATCAGTAAAACCAGGATAAGGCTACAACAATCTTGAAGTGTGAACAAGATATCCAATCAAGACAGTAAGATTCCCAGCCATAATGTAAGACAGAAAGGTCTTCATGCAGCATATGCTCTCTGGCTCCTAGAAAGCTTCATGTGCATAATAGAAAGTTAAGTTGCCCAAGAAGTAAACTGGAGTTCAGTGAAGTTTCCATTGTGCCATGACTTTTAAACCTCAGGAATGGTATGATCCATCAGGCTTTTCATAATGCTTGGTGCCATCCGTTTAATAATATGTTCAAAGATAAAAGCAGGCATGATTGTAATAGTAACTACAGTCTCAGATGTTGACAGTATGTCTGCAATTTGAGAATCCTTCAGCCCAATGACATTCTGCCCATTGACTTCACAGATGTTATGTTCTGTGAGAAGACCATTTCTGGCTGCAGAACTATCTTTCACTATGGATGTTATCTTTCCATTTTTAAAGATAAAGCCAACATGTCCAGTACTATCCTTATGCATGGTAACTGTCTGTTCAAAGGGCCTGTCACGAACAGTCATAGTAATCTTCTCTCCAAAAGCCTGTTTGAGTACCTTGTGTGCTTTATCAGAGCTCCAGCCTGCACAGTTTTCCCCATTGATCTGGAGTACTTGGTCCCCAAATCTCAGACCAACCAATGAGGCTGGAGAATTTGCCTGGACCAGCTGAACAAATATGCCATTATCTGTTGATTTAAGCCTGAGCCCAATTTTTCCATCTTGATCCTTACACAAAATGACTTCACGAATCCCTTGCTTAATTTCTGCTCTACGAATTCTAACATCATTACCAGTTACAGGAGCCACCATATAGTTCATACTGGAAGGTCTTGCTACCAACTGCCCCTGAACTGGTGCTCCAGAGACCACGGCCATATTTGCACAGATTTCTTCTTCATTTAAACTCAGGCCCATGTACTGGGAGAGCTCCGGATACAATTTAGGATAGAGATTTCCATCTTGAGAGATGGGAGCAGAAGCTTCAGACAAAATTGCTGGGTTGCCAGGGTTTGCGGAAAAGGCAGTTTGAGCCTGAATAACTTTGTCTACCTTCAGGTCTTCAAGAGATGGGTACAGAGACATTTTTGCAGGATTTTTCTAGGCCACAAGGACCCGCTCACCGCCGTTGCCGCCCCGCCGCCTCCGGTCTGGAGACATATCTTGAAAGAAGTTGCTGTGGCCAGTGTTGAAAAGGTTACTGCCTATGTTCTCCTCTAGGACTTTTGATAGATTCCTGCCTCATGTCAAGGACTTTTATCCATTTTGAGTTTATCTTTGTGTATGGTGTAAGAGAATGTCAAGTTTCATTCTTCTATACATAGCTGTCCAATTTTCCCAGCACCATTTATTAAAGAGACTGTCTTTTTTCCACTATATGTTTTTTCCTGCTTTGTTGAAGATTATTTGGCCATAGAATTGAGGGTCCATATCTGGGCTCTCTACTCTGTTCCATTGGTCTATGTGTCTATTTTTGTGTCAGTACCATGCTGTCTTGGTGATCACAGCTTTGTAGTAAAGCTTAATATCAGGCAACACGATGCCCCCAGTTTTGTTTTTTCTTTTTCAACATTTCCTTAGCAATTTGGGGTCTCTTCTGGGTCCATACAAATTTTAGGATTATTTGTTCTAGCTCTTTGAAAAATGCCGGTGGAATTTTGATTGGGATGGCACTGAAAGTATTGATTACTCTAGGCAGTATAAACATTTTAACAATGTTTATTCTTCCGATCCATGAGCATGGAATGGTCTTCCATCTTTTTCTGTCTTCTTCAATTTCTTTCATGAGTGTTCTGTAGTTCCTTGAGTACAGATCCTTTACCTCTTTAGTTAGGTTTATTCCCAGGTATCTTATGGTTCTTGGTGCTATACTAAATGGAATCAATTTCCTCATTTCCCTTTCTATATTTTCATTGTTAGTGTATAAGAAAGCAACTGATTTCTGTACATTGATTTTGTATCCTGCCACATTACTAAATTGCTGTATGAGTTCTAGTAGTTTGGGGGTGGAGTCTTTTGGGGTTTCCATATAAAGTATCATGTCAACTGCAAAGAGAAAGAGGTTGACTTCTTCATTGCTGATTTGAATACCTTTTATTTCCTTTTGCTGTCTCATTGTTATTGTTAGCATTTCTAGTACTATGTTGAACAAGAGTGGTGAAAGTGGGCATCCTTGTCATGTTCCTGATCTCAAAGGGAAGGCTGACAGCTTTTCTCCATTGAGGATGATATTCGCTGTGGGTTTTTCATAGATTTTATGAAGTTGAGGAACGTTCCCTCTATCCCTATACTTTGAATCGTTTTAATCAGGAATGGATGTTGTATCTTGTCAAATGCTTTTTCTGAATCAATTGAGAGGACCATGTAGTTCTTCTCTCTTCTCTTATTGATTTGTTCTATCATGTCAATTGATTTTTGAATGTTGCACCACCCTTGTATCTCATGGATAGATCCCACCCGGTCATGTTTAATGACCCGGTCTTTTTAATGTACTATTGGATCCTATTAGCTAGGATCTTGATGAGAATCTTAGCATCCATATTCATCAGGGATTTTGGTCTGAAATTCTTTTTGGTGGGGTATTTGCCTGATTTGGGGATAAGGGTAATTCTGGCTTCATAGAAGGAATCTGGAAGTTTTCCTTCTGTTTCTATTTTTTGAAATAGCTTCAGGAGAATAGGTATTATTTCTTCTTTGAATGTTTGGTAGAATTCTCTAGGGATTCCGTCAGGTCCTGGGCTCTTGTTTTTTTGGGAGGTTTTTGATCACTGCTTCAATCTCGTTACTAGATATTGGTCTATTCAAGTTGGGAATTTTTTCCTGATTCAGTTTTGGAAGTTGATAGGTTTCTAGGAATGCATCCATTTCCTCTAGCTTGCTTAACTTATGGTATATAACTGTTGATAATAATTTCCAATGATTGTTTCTATTTCCTTGGTATTAGTCATGATTTCTCCCTTTTCATTCATAATTTTACTAATTTGGGTCCTCTCTCTCTTCTTTTGGACTAGTTTGGCCAATTGTTTATCGATCTTATTGATTCTTTCAAAAACCAACTTCTAGTTTCGTTGTTATGTTCTACTGTATCTCTAGTCTATCTCTTTGATCTCTGCTCTAATCTTGATTATTTCCCTTCTAGTGTGTGGGGTTGGCTTAATTTATTGTTGATTCTCCAGTTATTTAAGGTATAAAGAAAGCTGCTGTATTCTATATTTTTCAGTTTTTTTTGAGGGAGGCTTGGATGACTATGTATTTCCCTGTTAGGACCACCTTTGCTGTATCCAATAGGTTTTGGACTGAAGTGTCTTCATTCTCATTGGTTTCCATGAATTATTTAAGTTCTTCTTTGATGTCCTGGTTGATCCAAACATTCTTAAGCAAGGTGGTCTTTAGCTTCCAAGTATTTGAATTCCTTCCAAACTTTTTTTGTGGTTGAATTCCAGTTTCAAAGCATTGTGGTCTGAGAATATGCAGGGAATAATCTGTCTTTTGGTATTGGTTGAGTGCTGACTTGTCACCCAGTATGTGGCCTTTTCTGGAGAAAGTTCCATTCTTCCATGAGAAGAATGAGTATTCTGTTTTCAGGTGGAATGTTCTGTATACATCTGTGAGGTCCAACTAGTCCAAGTGTCATTCAATGTTCTTGTTTCTTTATTGATTTTCTGCTTGGATGATCTGTCTATTACTGAGAGAGGCATGTTAGGATCCTCTACTATTAATGTATTCATATCAATATGATTCTTTATCTTGATTAACAGTTGGCTTATGTAGTTGGCTGCTCCCATATTGGGGGCATAAATATTTACAATTGTTAGATCTTCTCGGTGTATAGATCCTTTAAGAATGATGTAGTGTCCTTCTTTATCTCTGACTATAGTCTTTAGTTTAAAATCTAATTTATCTGATATGAGAATCACTACTTCAGCTTTCTTTTGAGGCCCTTTGGCATGAAAGATGTTTCTCCATCCCTTCACTTTCAGTCTGGATGTATCCTTAGGTTCAAAATGGGTCTCTTATAGACAACATATGGACGGGTTCTTTTGTTTTATCCAATCTGCAACCCTGTACCATTTTATGGGAGTGTTTAGGCCATTCATACTGTGAGTGATTATTGAAAGATACATTTTTATTAACATCATGTTGCCTGTGAAGTCCTTGTTTCTGTAGATTGTCTCTGTAAATTTCTGTTCTATGACACTCTTGCATTCTTTTTCTCTTATAGAACCCCCCCTTAATATTTCTTGTAGTGCCAGCTCAGTGGTCACATACTCTTTTAACCTTGCCGGTCTTGGAAGCTCTTTATCTCTCAATCCATTTCGAATGTCAGCCTTGCTGGATAAAGTATTCTTGGCTGCATGTTCTTCTCATGTAGTGCCCTGAATATGTCTTGCCAGCCCTTTCCTGCTTGCCAGGTTTCTGTGGACAGGTCTGACGTTATTCTGATGGACCTTCTTTGGTAGTAAGGAATCGATTCCCCCTGGCTGCTCTTAAGAGCTCTTGTATAAGATTATGATTCATCAGTTTCACAATTAAGTGTCTCAAGGTCTCTCTTGAGACCTTTTTTTGTTTTGTTGATCTTGGGGGGTGATCTTTCTGCCTGTAGGATAAAAAGATGTTACATTCCCCAGATTTGAAAAATTTTCATGGAGAATTTGTTCAAGTATATCGTCTAGTCTTCTTTCTCCTCCCTGCTCAGGGAGCCCCATAATTCTGATGTTGGAACGTTTTATGATGTCATTTATTTCCCTAATTCTGTTTTCTTCTAAGCTGTTTGTTCCAGACCTCCTCCTGATCCTTTTTCTCTATCAGTTTATTCTCTAGATCACCAATTCTGTCTTCTGCCTCGGTTATCTTTATCCTATCTTTTAGAGAATTTAGATTGGATCTCATTGATAGCATTTTTAACTTCCTCCCAGATGGGTTTCACTTCTGCCCTAATCAATTCCATGTTGTCATTAATGGTTTTCTGCAACCTAGCCATTGCCTGGATAATTGTTACCTTGAATTCCCTTTCTGACATATGGTTTATGTCCATATCCAATAGCTCTGATGGAGAGGGCACAGTCTCTAAATTTTTCCTCTTTTCGGTGTTCCTCCTCCTAGTCATTTTGGTGAGAGGTGGTTGAGGGGATGGTAGCTGAATATATCAACCATGATCCAGGCAAGGTACACCCTGGAACACTTCTGAGAAATCAGAAGTCACCACCAAAAAAAAAGAAAATAGATAAAGAGAGAGAGAGAAAAAAAAGAGAGACAGAGAGAAGACCCAACCAGAATGGGCTCCAAAGGTAAGATTTATAAGGTATACAAACAAAAATACTGACAAAAGTAAATGACAAGGAAAAAAAAAAAAAAACAGCCAAAATGAACCCCAAGTATAAGATTTATGTAATACCAGAACAAAAAGAAATACACAGAAACACTGACAGAAGAAAAAGATGGGAGGGTGGTTATAAATCCTCAGTGTGCACGAGGCAGGTTATTTTGATTCTTCCTGAGTGTGTCTTGATATCTTTGTTAAAGGATTCAACTTTCCAGAGATAAAGGGAGATTAAAACGGTTTATATATAGGGGTAGTATTGATTAGGGAAAGAGGATTACCTTGAAGCTTATATCTCTATGCATATTTTAAAAAATGGAAAAGCAAAAGAAAAACACAGGTATATGTATGAAAAAAGTTCAAGTTAAAAGGTTATTATGGAATATATTGTATTCAACCTCTCGTTGTAATGGTAAATAGGTTAAAAAAATCAAAAAGAACAAGACTAGTGAGAACGAATTAAAAATAAAAGTTGTATCTATGAAGCATACAGATTTTAGGGTGATACTGGGAGTTTAATATCTTGTTTCCCATGATATTGGGGTATTACAGTTTTGTGGGGATCCTGGAGTGGTTGTCCTCTCATTCTTTTGGCTGGCTTTCTGGGGGAGGGGCCTGTCCCATTGTTTTTCAGTCAGTCTTGCTTGGGTTGAGTTGTCCTGTCTCCTATCAAGGGGCTGGGCTCCGTGGAAACCAGGTTTTCAGGCATTTGTTCTCTAGACATTTTTGTTCTTTGGTGGCTTTTTGTGGCTTTTCAAAGGTTTAGTGGAAAGAAAACTGCATCCAGACCTCCATCTCAGAGAGAAGCCTTGGTCTGCTCCCCTC